TGTTACCTTTGTTAATTTAAATGATGCTACTAGTTTTTATTGTTTAAGCTATACTTAGCCATAGACAACTTCTGTCATGTTGGCCATGTCTTTGTGTCCTTCTGAAATGACTGAATCAACTGATTTTTCTTGTGAAACTTCCTTGTCTTTACAATAAAAACAGAAGCTAACTTTCAATCGGGGCTGTACCCAGTTTTCTCCTTCTAACAGAGGAGTTGCTCAGGTGTAGTCTCTTCAGGCTTCTCATTGCATTTATGTTGCTTTGAGTAATCCTTTTTGCATCTCCGTTACACAGCAAGAAGTGTAACACATTTAACCCTAACTAACTTAACTTTTCTAGATCTCAGTTTCCTCCCTGGTGAGAAAAGTTATGTAATTTCTAAAAGTCCAAAGTCATAATTCTAAAATTGTAACTTCTCTTTATACTTATGGGTTACAAGTGTAAAGTGTCAAACCTGATCATCTACAGTTGAGACAAAGCAAATCAAATATAAGACCACTTTTCCGCTCCTACTCATATTAGGATATCAAAAACAGATACCAAACTTTACAATTCTGAAGTCTAGGAACAACCATCCAATAGCAGGGTAATAATAATTAAATAGAGTGAAGATGCTTTACAAGAGAGTAGATATACATTAAATAGAAAGCACCTCTCTTTCTCTCTCTTCCCACCCCCCACTTATGTACACATTTGTGAGCACGTGTGTGTGCATGTGCTTGTGTGTGTGGTATGCAGGCACATACAAAACTAAATGTATGCTTAAATAAGCTAGAAGTCATTTTCTAGTTTGGTGCCATACCAAGAAATCAATCAGAAAAAAATCAGAAACTAAGGCAGAGATTCTCAACTGCAGACAGTTTCCACCCCATCAGACATTTGGCAACATATAAAGATAGTTTAATTGTCACAGCTCGGGTGATGCTACTGACATCCGGTGGGCAGAGGCCAGAGATGCTGCTAACATCTTATAAGGCACAAACAGTCCCCTCCCCCCACCTAGAAAAAGAATTATCTGGCCCAAAATATCAACAGTGCTGAGGGTGAGAAACCCTGGGCTAACCTTACCTGGACCTTTGACACTGTTACACAAGTTAGTGGTGAGATCATCCACAATCCTGGAGAGTGACTCAAAATCTGCCACATTGTATGCATGGATATCGTCAGGATCAGTTGCAATCATCTTTAACTCGACCTCATCAGCATTTTTAATACCTTGAAAAATGGATATATACAAATTAAAAGCACTTGTCAGAAAAAATTAATGGAACAAAGGCAAATGTTTTAAGGCCTTCTTAACTGGTGATTGCTTTAGGCCAAATATAAAGATTAAATAATTTATTAACTAGAACATATATATTATTTTCCTCAATAACAAAATGATTATTTATCTATAGTTATAAAATAGAAACAAATAATATAACCCGAAAGCTATTCTAAATTGCCTTCTTCTAAATGCTTCTAGCACCCATTTTTCACCAAAAAGTGTCTTTTCAGTGTGTTTTCTGGAAAGTAAAATGATAGATATAAAAAACAAACATGGTTCTGTGGAAAACCAAATAGGAATTTTCCTGAATCCTATTAATAGTACATTTTTCTTCTTGATCCATTACTTTTCTTCTAGGAAACCATGTAGTTTCGTCTCATTACAAGGAAAAAAGAAAATGGATTAACTTCCTGGCACATGATTTTGATAAATTGTGTGACAAGGAAAATATGTTTGTTTGTTTTTCTCATGCTTTAGATAATATTTTTAACTACAAAAAATATCCTCAGCACATTTGTTAACCTCAGGGGCATTGCTATCCGTTTTGGAGCTTACCGACAGCAAACAGCTCCACGCCTTCATCTTTGAGTTTCTTTGAAGGTGCCTCAACATCATCTTGTGATTTTCCATCAGTAATGAGGACACCAATTTTTCGAGCTCGAGGCCTCATGCCAGCTTGGGTCTTGAAGCTCTGTTGGCGAATGAAATTCAAAGCCATGCCTAGTGGGATTTTTAAAAGAGAATCGGTCACATCACTACTCGGCCCCCTGCTCTGACCAAAAGCATGAGATGAAAGAGCACCAGACCTTCCCTGCTCACCTGTGAGAGTGTTGCCTCCTTTGTATGGTAAGTTTGCCACAGCTTGCAGCAAGCTCTTCTTGTCTCTGTGAGCATTTAACTGCCACTCTGTTCTGGGGTCCCCGCTATACTGAGCAAGGGCTAAAATAACATCACTAGCATTAGCATATAAAAAAGACCATCATGAAAATGTCTAATTGTCTTCAATATTGTCAGAACCTACCAATCTGTACTCTTTTGGGGCCAATCTCAAAGACTTCCACAATACGAGAAATGAAACTCCTCACAGTTCTAAAATTTGCCCGGCCAATGCTCCATGATCCATCCACCAGCAACACAATGTCCGCTTCAGCTCTGGTGAGACACTCCATCCCTGACATGGCAATCGTGAGACAGGTCAGTAACCAGCAAATTGCTGGCAGGGTTACTCCTAGCCACCCCTCTGCCACCCCGAGATGTTCAGTGTTGCCTGTTTCAGTACTGTAGCTCAGCTCAGTGATTTGGAGCCTGAGACAGAAAATATGCCTCTATGATTTATTAACCTCAATTAACAGTCACCAGAACCCTCAATTCTTTCAAAGATTATTTCAGTAGCAAATCTTTCCTTCATCTTTGACTGAATTTCCTTCCCACAGTCATAGATTCTGGAGACTTGAAGTAAACCATTATAAATTTGATAGGATCACAAACTCAAGTTGAAATAAATAAGTAAAAATGTATAACTATCTAACTATAAGGCATTAATTATTTTAACAAAATTTTTTTGTGATCTAAAGATTAAATGTTGCTTTCCTTTGCACTATTTAATGATCATTAGCAGGCAAGTTTAAATTGGACTGATTAAATGTAAACCAGAAAAAGTTTTAGTAAGCCAAAAATATCTTTCAAAATAATTAAGCTCTGAGGTAACTACATTTAATATGAAGGATCAGACACATGCCTCTTAAAATTAGAACTTTTTGAAGTAAAGATATATTTTTTAAAAACCTGACACACTCTTATATTACTTAACTATTAACTATTTAACTTTATCATCCACTATGTATAAAAATCAGGTAAATACAGATGATGATGTCTGCACATTTAAAGAATCAAGAAAGAAGAAAGAAAACTTAGAAAAGTATGCAAACAAATATACAGATTAAGAGCTGTAGAGACAAGCACAAACATTGATACATAGCTAGGGGGCTTTGGAAAGAGAAAATAATCCCAATATCCTCAGTGTACACACTACAAAATAAAAATATAAGCCAGTTAATATCATCATAAGAGAAACAATAAAACATCAATGCAAAACAGCAAGATTTGACACTTTCATTTATTTTATCGACATCCATTTTCTTAAATGCTCTTTTTTGCATGAGCTTTTACTGCTAGCTATAAATTTTCCAATTTCTTGCAATGTTAGAATTTGATCTTTATATTACAAAAATAAGTCATTGAAAAAAATTAAGTAATGTTCATCATACTACAAAGAACAAATAAATGTGTCATTCATGTTTTATATGCTACATTAGGATTTAGGATTCCCAAATACTATCCCAAGTACCTAAGCCTTTGCAAGCCTGCTCCTGCTCTGCCCAAATCTACTTTTTCTTTTATCAAATGTTGAAAAATATTTAGAAGTTAACTCTGTCTACCACATCCACCTCTAAAGATTTAAAAACTAGCTTCACGTGCATCAAGGCTATAACCGTGCCAAAGGGCAGAAAATCTAAAAGGCTTA